CATCACCGGTACTCCGAGACCGACGCCGACCCCCATAACGCCAAACGGGGCTTCTTTTTCGCGCACATGGGTTGGCTCATGTGTCGCAAGCACCCGGAGGTCACCATTAAGGGCAAGGAGATAGACATGACCGACCTGTTGGCCGATCCTGTAGTCCGGTTTCAACACAAATACTACTACCCATTAGTGGCGCTAATATGGCTGATAATACCGGTGTCGGTACCGGTGCTATGCTTTGGCGAGACGTGGTTTGACTCGTTTTTGTTAAACTGTTTCCGGTATGTCATTAGTCTACACCAGGCATGGCTCGTCAACTCCATGGCCCATATTGGCCCGGCTTATAAGCCGTACGATAAGTATATTAACCCGCGTGAGAGTCGAACGGTTACCTACCTGGCCCTTGGAGAAGGTTATCATAACTATCACCACACGTTCCCCGGAGACTACTCGGCCTCAGAGTACGGGTGGAAAGACAACTGGAATATAGCGACGGCTTTCATAGATATGTTTGCGTGCATTGGATGGGCGTATGATAGGAGGCGCCCCACGGAGGCCGTGGTTAAGGCGAGAATCACCAGAACCGGCGAATCCGATCACAAATATAACCAATTGACAAGAATTAGCGCTATAATGGATTCAATTACAGGGTGGGCATTGGTTTTGTGGCCTATATGGCTACCAAGGTTAATTCAGAAGATTTTTATAATTTTTCTAATATTTCATTATATTGTATCATTTTCGAGGGGATTATTATTACCATAATTACAATAATTATTAATTTGTGATTTACTTTAACCTTAAACGTATATACACAATAAAATCATTTTATCAAATTAGAAAATGTATTATAAATTATAATATACTTTATGATAACTTAAATCTATAAATAATAATCTCTGGTATACTAATGTCTCTCATTTGATCTCCCCTAGTATAATTAGGTACGCTTACAAAAATAAATACCTTAATAATCATGATAGTAAGTAAAATTATTTTCTATATTAATCTAAACGATAAATAATGATTATTTTTGAAATTATATTGTTATTATGATTCATAATGGTTCATTTGATTTCTCAAGATTATATTTAATAATTATTTTGTTTATAATTTAAGATAAAGTATAAATCACTTAATTACTTGATATCGTTACAGCTTACTTGTATAATCACACAAATAATGTAATATTTTTGAAGTTACAAAATGATTAAATTTTAAATTTGTGTGATTGCCATATCTAATGGAAGATTTCAAACCCATTACTTTGGATTTTTATATTAATAGTTAAACCCCTTAGAAATTATAATAATTATATTAATTTTAAATAAAAGCTAATAACATAGTAATGGTTTGAAATATTTCATTTATTTATGAAACCATGTACAGTACTAACATTATTTATTGAAAAAATGTACAATCCTACATTAGTATTACTAACATGCATTTTGTGTATGCTTTTCAAATAAACATCAATATTACAATGTGTCATTATTTATACAGTATTTTATAAACATTTTTATATTTTACTTTAATATCAAGATATAATTACATTTTTATCATTGTCTGAACATCATCTTAAATATTTCAAAGTTATCTATACAATGAATATGCTTGAACAAACAGTTAATATTTTAACTTTCTATTACCCTGGGAACAATAACATTCGTTATAATAATTATCACGTTATTAATGGAAATCCTAATAAATGGTCTCATAATTGGACTCAATTCTCGGGGCTTTCATATATCCCGGGTGTGACTGAATTGGAAAATAAGTTAATATATTACACCGATTATAATGATTATCTGAAGTTTATGCAACAAAAATGGCACTATTCTGTGTACATATCCATTGGTTATATTATATTAATACCACTTTTGAAGCAATGGATGAAATATCGCGGAAAGCCTTATAATCTGAGAACTCTATTAACGCTTTGGAACTCATTTTTGGCCCTATTTTCCATAATAGGAGTCATCAGATGTTTACCAGAATTTGCACACATTTTATACACCAAAGGATTCACGGCTTCATTCTGTCGATCAGACCATTTCATGGACTTACGGATCAACTGGTGGCACCTCCTATTTGTATGGTCTAAAGTCATTGAGTTAATTGATACCCTGTTTATTCTACTAAGAAATGGGAAGCTACTGACACTCCATTGGGTACACCACGTGCTAACACTATGCTATTCGTGGTATGCTTTCGGTGACGTTCCCGCGACTGCCCGATGGATGGTTGCCATGAATTTCATCGCGCATTCACTTATGTATACCTACTATACGTTGAAAGCGATGCGGATATCAATACCACTTGTTATCAGTATTTCCATAACTACGATACAAAATGCGATAAATTTGGGATTTCTGTGAAATATTGCGGTCTTTCCTTTGGGTAACAAATCGACACATTATTCACCAAAACATGTATTTCTTCATCCCTTTCCTCCAATCTCTTGAACTCCTCTTCAATTGTGTCATATATATCGGTTCGCGAGAAGTCAATGGCCAATACTCTGCATCGCCACCGGTATGTCGACTCAATCTCGTGCCTAACTTTCGCCAATTTGTTTGGATTACGACTAATGAGTAGTAAGTTATAGCCCTTTGAGGCCAACTGTCGCGCGTACTCGAGGCCTATGCCGTCCGTACAGCCGGTGACCACTGCCCACGTGTGGGGCCCACCCCTCCATTTAAACCCTGACTTTAACCACAACCGCCACACAAATACTGTCAGTCTTATAGTTATCACCAAAATTAATACTATTATTAGCATTACACCTAAATATTGGCAAATCTTTAAAAACATTTTTAAATAATAATTAATAATTATAACACAATATAATACAGTAATTATAAACTTATATCAAAATATTTATCGTTTGTAAAATTATATTTTAATAAAAGGGTGTAATAAGCAAAATATAAACTATTATGTTCAATTATTAAAACTTAAAATTTTAGTTATCATACAAATAATAAAACTCTAAGCAGTGTTTTCAAATTCTAAATAAAAAAACTTTACTTAAATAGATACATTATTTTATAGTTTAATGTTTTTGCCAAAATAATTAATGTAACTACTATTTGTGATTAAGTATGAATTTGCGATTTACACTGACCTTTAAAAATAATAATGATTTGTTGTGCCACTCTCAGGGACATTTGATATATAAATATAATCATATAGTATAGATATTATACTAATTATAATATTCAGTATTACAGTGTTGGTCGGCCTATAGACGCCCTATTGAACCCGATTAATATGAGTGGTGTCGCGACCATCACCGGTACGCCGAGAATGACGTCAACCCTTATAACGCATGGGTTATACGGATGTGTCGTAAACACCCGGAGGTCACTCGTTTGGGCAAACAGGCCAACATGTCATTCATTTTATTTCCCCTCAATATTAGCAAATATTTCAAAATAAATATAATAATTATGAATCATATGGATTTATAAAATTCATATTAAATTATTATAGAAAATATTGTATTTTCTGTATAAATCGTATTTATTACAGATTTTGATTTAGAAATTATAACATACGATCCGGATGATTGTGCTAATCAACACCGGTATCCATACTGTTATATACGGGTATATAAGCGCTGACGGCGTTTGGGCATAAAGTTAGGCCATACCTGTGATGGAAGCGCTACCTACCTGTCCTAAAAATCCCACAGTTTGTCATTTGCGGCACATATGGTTGTCAATGTTATTAGAAATACATGGTTTCGTTGTCGGACAGAAGTAACTGTTTATTGTTATGTTTTATGATTTCTATTCAAAAACTAAAAATAAATTGAACTAATAATAAAAAAATTTAATTACAACATTATTAACAATTTTATTACTGTTTTATTGTTTTATTAAAATTTAGTATTCAATTATTACATAATAGGTCATGCTTGTTTCAATATGTTTGAAAGTATAAAATTTCAAAATATAGTTATCTAACTATATATAGAAAGCACTTTCATTAATTTATTTTATTTTGCGAATCAATTTTCAAGTAAATAATTTCAGCATTATCATTTGCATCCTTACTCATTTCAATGGCATCCGCACGATGTTTATTATCAACATACAATTTCTTATCAAATATAGCTTTAGACAAAATCATTGCCAAAGTCAGGAACGGTATCTCAAACCACGCGGTCAATGGTATAATAATAGCATAATTTGTTGCAATATACACCAAGGTGTATAATATAATCATTGGATATACATAATAAAATCCGTGGGCTATAGATTCTGGTTTAACCTGTAGTTCCGGTGCTATACTTAAAAATATGAGACCCAGACTCAGGTGCAGTAGGTATGAGGTCTGTTGGCTGACCCGTATTGGTCGCCAAAAGGGTGATCGAAAAACTCGATTCCAAAACCGGTTAAACTTATTATTATTTTCAAACGTGTAAATGATCCAGTAACATGTCATTAACATGGGTACTATTCCAGATAGTGCATGCTCAATTGCTGTAAATACAGGAAGGCCGCCAAATATGGATGTATGTCTCATACACCCTATGACTATGGATGATATGAAATATGTAGTTAATAATGCGAATATTTTTGTTGTCCATGGTGAATTGTATATTCGCTTAATGTGACCCTTCTCCATTATGTAGCCAAATACCATCCCGGTGAAATATGCTGTACCGTATCGAAAAGCAGTCATGTGTAACAAATGCATGGTATGGCCCGGTATGCTATTTTAATATAGTAAATATATTAACATTTTTAATTAAGTATGATAGATTATAGATTAAGAAAAGTAAATATTAATAATATTTTTTTATTTTTTTTTGCATAGTAAAAATCTATGATCTAACAGTTATTAGTTTTATTTTAAGAATGTAATACCCTTGATCAATTATATATTAATAACAATGTAATATTGCTTACTAAATAGGACTGACGATATAAGTAGTGAAACCCATGGCATCGGATACGACTTCAGTGGTGATGCCATTGGAGTACGCGATTTGAAACACTGATATTATAGACCACACGTTGGCACCGATTAGGGCACAGACACCTAGTTTTGGTTTTCTGTTGATAAATAAAATTTATTTAATAATTGTATGCAAATATAAATTAAAATTAAAAGCTTACTTGACCAACAAGATAGCAAATATTGGTGTAAATACTACATATTGGACAATGACCATGTAGGTCCACGTTACCGGCATGCACTATATAAAAATATAATTAATAAATAAATAATGAACATGTTAATAACTGCTTTAACATTACCATTCCGTTATCCCTATTGATAAAATTGCCGACAAATAGCAAATTGTAGACCAGATTGTCGTAACACAAACCCTCGACCCGTTTGTCTGCAAACCTCGGACTAACCCAATAGCGGATGTAAATCATGAAGAAATAGTAACACAAGTAATAAATCGGAATAATTCTCATCAAACGATCGAAATAATAGCGAATTGTGATTAGAGTCAGTCGTTTGC